ATTTCTTTTCCAACTTGAAACTAATGGGATATTATTTCTAACACCCTAAGGGACCACTTAAGCAAAAAATTTAACATTTAATTTTAATGTTAATTAGTTATTGATACAATAACTATAACTATAATAATATTATTAAATGTACTTTCTGCAAGAAGAAATATCAATTTTTAAGAAAAAAATTTAAATCAAAAAATATATTTGTTTATAAAATTTGTATAAGATAAAAAATTGCTTGTTTGAAAATCTTCACGGTAAAGTTGTAGAGAATCATTTTCTGAAGAACCATAATACTTTGAAATCGAATAATTTTTAAAAAATTCTGTCCAAGTGATGTTACGTAAAATTGTTATCATGCAAATTGTGGAATAACAAATACAATTTATAGGTTTTAAATATTTTTCTTGAAAATTGTTATTTCTTCTTTCAGAAAGTAATATTACTAATATTTTTTCTAATTATTTTAATGTTAATTACATATTTTTTTCAGAGGTCTACATTTACATGGATAAACGTCATTAAAATGTTATTGAAATTTTTTTATATAAATATTATAGAACATTAGAAATGTTTAATCACTAATTTAAAAAAATGTTCAAAAATTTTTTTTAAGTAAAATTTAAAAACATATAAATTACCCTACAGTATAATAGTTTGAAAAAAATATTACAGCATAATTTAAGGTCCACATGAAAAAAGAAAAAACGTTTAGTATATGTAATGAATATTTTTAGACAGACTTTTGCTTGTATGTATGTATATATATATTGTGCGTTTATAAAGTGAAGAAATTATCAAAATGTGAGGATTGCATTTTTTAAAAATTCATAACTATTGTACTCTCTAAATCTGAATTAGCGACTATTAGCTTTAAATTATTGACTATTCGCTTATTCCTAGCGCAGAGTATGCAGCTGGGAACAAGTGAATAATTACTCATTGAAAATTTGCTCATCACTAGCGAATAGTCGCTGATTGCTAGCGAATAGTCACAATTTTAATCGGCCCAGAGTATGTAGCTACGAATAACCGAATAGTCACTAATTCAAATTTAGAGAGTATAACAGGGTGAAAGAAATGTTGATATATATGATTTCGAAAGATTTTTAAGTGCTCTTTAGAATGGAATAAATATTTTTTATTCAAAATTAACCCCCTTTTTGAAAATCAAAAATATTCTTTAATTTTTTTTTAATAAAAGACATTTTTTATTTCTTTTTTTCACACCTTAAAATAAAACAAAAAATGTGAACTTTTAATAAACAATTTAAACAAAATTTTTTATTCTTCGAAATATTAATTAATTAATTAATGTTAATATAAAATGAAATATTGTTTTATTAGATTTCCTTATTATACCTCTTGTAAAGGTTTTTACGCATGCTATTCCACACTTATAACCCTACTTCTATGAATACTCTAAAGTTCCAAAAGTTACGGTCCGTAGCCAACATTTATTAGAAATATTTGCATATTCGTAGCTGCATACTCTGGGCTGATTAAAATAGCGATTATTCGCTAATGATGAGCGAATTTTCAATGAGTGATTATTCACTTATTCCCAGCTGCATACTCTGCGATAGGTATAAGCGAATAGTCACTAATTCAAAGCGAATAATCGCCAATTCAGATTTAGAAATTACTGAATACAGCTGGTTTGTTAACTGTCTAGTCATAAATGTACATTTAAATAGTCAGCTAAGTGCACAAACATATTCTCGACATCAAACCTTCAGCTTAATATATATCGATTTCAGCGAAAACACCAGGGCTATGGCGGGTACTTAATCAAAATACTTCATGTAGTGCTCCTTGGATGCAAAATTATGTTAATATTAAATTGGTAAATTTTTAATTACAGTAAATTACTTAACTTACTTAAATGTTTATTATTATAAAAAAATTTAAAAATAGTTTTGATTTTCAAAGAAAGAGTAAATTATGAATTTAAAAAAAAAATTATATTATTCGAAAGAACATGAAAAACCCTTTCCAAATCATATAAGTTAAAATTTTTTCATATTTTAATACAATAGTTATGATTTTTCAAAAATTGCAATGCTTATATTTAACCAAAATTTTAATCCTCTCACCATAAACAGTTTTTAATAAAAATTAATAATAATTTATGGGTGAAGTACTTACCGCTAGTACTAAATGTTATGCACATTGCAAATATAAAAAAAACATTATTGTAGATAATAAGTTTTGAAATAATATGTTTTTTTTTAAATTACATATTATATTTATATATAATATAAATAAACTGTATTTTATTAATATGAAATATATGAATTACTAACTGTATATTTTAATTTATATTTAAGATTCATCAGACAATGAAATTGAGGAAAAAGAAATGTATGAAACATTTACCAAAGAAAGTAATGGAACAAAGGTAATAAAATTTTTCTTTTAATAATTTTTAAATTTTAATATACTTATTAATTTTAATTTTTATTTCATTAAAAGTCACCCGTTTACCTTCCCAGTGCACTAGAAGAAAATTATTATTAAAATGTACAAAAACTTGTATTACATTTTAATATATTTTATTTCAATGTAAGGAAATTTGCACTTTTATTAAAATATTATATAAAGTTTATTTATATTCTATAACGTAGCTTTTTTAAATTTGAAAAATTTTATATGAAAAATTCGGAATGTTTGTAAGAAGGAAAAAAAAAGAAATTTCGGCTATTGTCGTTTAATTCCGTCATTCTCAAATTCTCTAATTAGTAATTTCAATTAACACATCACGTCGATTGTATAAACACAAACGCACACATATACAAACGGTAGCTACAACTTGATAAACTTGATACACAGATTGTTTTACTTATACATAGACGCTCACAAACTAATACTAATATGCATATATAAGATCTACATATACTCCTTTCGTTTCCTTATATAAGCATATATAACATCTACATATACTCCTTTCGTTTCCTTATATGTTAAGCATTGGAATTTTTTAGCACTTTTGAGAAAAAGATTTACTTATAATATATTACACTGAAAAAAATTTCTAACCCCCGTATACCAGGAATTGACTAATTTGCCTGGTTACGAGAGGAACCCACTAGGCAATCTTGGTTAAAGTTGATTTCTACAATTAGTCAGAATGACTAGGGAAGCTTATCAGAATAACCAGGTATCTTAGTTACATTGGCTGGAATTACTTTGACTAAATAAACTTTAGCAAAATTGACTATAGATACATGTCATATTAACGAAACATTTTAGTTAATATAACTAGGAAACAAGGGGTCAATTCTACTAAATCGACTTTGACAATATTAACCAAGCTACATAACTGAATTGACTAGGATGCTTGGTTACGCTGACTATATTTAAAGTTGCTGTGGTTAATAGTCATTAATACGAAGTAAATTTTTTTCAGTGTATAAATAATATTTTTTCATATACGTATCAATTGATCATAGTACAAAGACTTTTAGTCATCGGATTGGATCGGGACAGTTCAGATTAAATATGAAGTCGAACTCGGTTCAAGTCATAGATTATCGGGGAAATCCGACACTTTTCATATAAAATTTTACGAATAGTGAAATAAGTTTAATGTGTTATATATATATATATATATATATATATATATATGCATGCTAAATTATATATTTATTTTTACAACTTCTGCATTTTAAATAACACTTTTTCGTACTCTGTCATAATCCTCACATAATTCTAATTTTTCATAATAAATGTATCGAATTATTTCGATTTTATAAAAAAGAACATGGAAAAAAAAATAAATTTATTAATTTTTCATTCTTCAAATAATATTTATTCTTATATTTATTATATATTTTGATAATAATTTTAACAGTAATTATAAAAATTACTCTTTTTTCCTAAATTGAAACACTTTATTTTAAACTTTTATATGCATCTATCAATAAATGATAATTCAAATTTCTTTTAGTGTAGGAAATTTAAATAGCACGATACAGTATTTCATTTAACATTTCAACATTAACAAATAATAAAAAAATTGTATCATTCTTTTTTTTGTCAGCTGTGTTTGGTTTAGTTAGATTTTTCGTTTTTCTTAACATTGCATACTTTATAGATATTTTAAAAATAATACTAAATTAAAACCAATTTTAATTTGTTAAATATTTTTTTAAATATTTCCATAGAAAATTCTTATCTCTATTCACATATATGGTTTATTTTCAATAAATAAAAGGTTTGATAGTTTTCAAATTTGAAGGTTTAGTTAATATTTTATGTGTATAAAAATATTTACTTATTATTATGGGATATTATGAAGAATTTATAACTTAATATTTATAGCCATTATTATTAGAACAAAAATTAAAATTTTTTTATTTTATTTCATGCCAGGGGAATTACATAAAAAAGGTACTAAAATTTTTTCAATCAATTGTATTTTATTACAAAATATAATTGTTTATTAAAAAAATTTATTATTATTAACTTAAATGTGGATAAAAATACTTAACGTGACATTTCACACTTTAATCAACTATCATATATTGTGAACCAAATATTTGCAATTTCTGGAAATAGAAATGAGTAGATATAATATTTATTAATATGTTACACCGTTATTATAGCAACATACAATATTTTTTTCATTAAATAATTATAGAAGAATTGAATTTCTACGTTTATTGAAAATGACCCATATAGTACTTATAATTTTATATAGCACAATCGATAACTCTTATTGATTTAATCATTTCTAAAACAAACCATGTTGTTAAAACATTCATCCAACATTTTTATCCAAGCTATTATGTTAATCATCTGTTTTTTTACATATTTCTAATTTATGTACAATTTTACATTTTTTTTGTAAAACATCATAAGAAATTTAATAAGTTTTAAAAATACTTTTAATTAAGACTTTAATTAATCTTATTAATTATTTTATAATTAATTATCATCATTTATTGTTTATTAATCTTATCTTTTCTTTTTTTTCTTTTTTTTCTTTTTTTTTACGAGGGAAATGGAAAAACTACATAATCCTTGATACTAAAGGCAAATACCTGGAGCCCGTTGCTCCGAGGTTATGTGGGGATGACCGTTCTTGTTCTGGTCGACCCACTAAAAAGTACACCCTTTGGCTGGACTAATCCACACGACGAAACTGCCGTCAAGATTTAAACTTTGTAGGTGAATGTCCCTGGGATTTAACTATCGCGATCCTTGCTTCTACCCGCTAAGAAAGAGTGGATTAAAATCTATAAAAGTGCATTCAAATTGTTATGAAATTTAACACACTTTATTCTAACAAATGTCGTTTTTGTCCAGTTTCATTTCAATTTGTTTTCTGATATAACAAATGTTTTAATTTATATCCTATTTAATTATTTGAAAATTTAGTGTAGAAAATGTTTACACTTTAATTGGTATCTCAACAGCGTAAACAAAAAGAAATTCCCTCTTATTATATGTATGCAACTTCTTGACAGCGTAACAAAAAGAAATTCCCTCTTATTATATGTATGCAACTTCTTGGATGTATGGTATAAGAGATCAGATAGAAAAGTGACGTGTTGAGGGTGTTATTATTATCAAACTGTACATAATTAATTATTTATTGCCTTATCTAAAATGAACAATATAATTTTCTTATTAATTAAAGTATTCAAGATTTCTTATATACATAAAATGATAATCATAATATTGGAGGATTATTCTCATTATATTTGAGTATTTTTGAGTCATATTCAATCCTTAACTGATAAGCTCCATATTAGTTTAAAACTGTTGTATTTTGGAAAATAACTATAAAAGTTAAAACCATTTTAATTATTATAATCAAAATACGAATTATAGCACATCAATCTGATTTAATATTGAAATCAATTTTCCCAGAAAATAAAAATTAATTTGTTTGAATTTAATTGAATATACCTTGAGCTTCAGTGAATCCCGTTTTGCAACAAATTCGAATTGCAGCAATGTTGCAATTCATTTTAATTCTATGAAGCTGAATTCCATTTCCAAAGTCTCTATTCGTACTAATTCAATGAAAAAAGTTTTGAGTTTCAATTTTTTTCAATTCGTCAACAAAAATCCAACAGACGAGTTGGTCATTTAATTTGAATTCTAAACAAATGAAAACTCATTGGTACGAATTGATTTGAATATACAAAGGGCTTCACTAAATCTTGCTTAGCGACAAATACGAATTGGACCTTGGCAAAAAAGTTAATTCATTTAAATTCATCTAAATTATTTTTTTTTAAATTAATGGGTTATGACATCCCTATAAAATGAAATTAAATTAAACGCATTAAAATTGAGTATGTTTTATACTTATATTTTTTATGTTTTTTTAGTTTTAAAAAATATAGTATAATTAACCAATAAATTCATGTTAAAAATGATCAATTTTGTCATTTCAAAGATAAATTGAGCGTTTCTATTATATTTAATACCATATTTTATTCTATTGCAAGTACTGTTAGCATTTTCATACCATCTAATTCCTGCTTCCTCTTCATTCGGAATTAATCTGTTTATGGACAAAAACGACATTGAATTAGATAGAAGCATATTTATCCTTTACAATCTGCTCTTTTTACCGGGTGGCTTATTTATTCTTCGTTCGTGCGAGTCTTCTTAGACTCTTCAAAAAGGTTCCACATGTAGGTGAAATCGTACAGTCGTTGCGATCGTCCAACTCCCACTACGTCATTTACATAATGCTTTCCCTTTTTAACGTCACGGAGGGAAGTTTATTGATTAGATATCGCAATGGGAGTTCCACAATCGCAACGAATTTGTTATTTCGCATACATGTGGAACCGCTGGGCCGTTTTGAAGACTCCACATCCTCCGAAGCGTGCGATATATGACTAATGTTCGCCTTATCATCATACCATCGGAAGGGTAATCTTTTCTTATCTTATTAAATAATCTTCGTATTTGGTTGAAATTAGTTAATTAAAATCAATCAAAGATACTTTAGAATATTCTTCTTGGATGCTAAAGTTGATATGATTTAAAAAGATTATCACCTTCAATTAATTTTGTATATAAATTATATCATTTATATCATTATATCAGTAATTTCTTGGAGAAAATAAATAAAATCATTTAATAAGTTTAATTTTGTTAAAACATCATTATCTAATTTGACAAATTTAATTTTGATAATGTTATATTCGATAAAAATTGATCCATATGTATATGTATGTCATGGTAAAAGTACATCATTGGTAATTTGTTAAATGTAGATAGTTTGTTTTAATTCAAGGAGCTGTAATATCAGAATTACACAAAAAATCTTACAATTTACAGCTGTATTTTATAATATTACATTTTCCATTACAAAAACATTTTTTTAACCTATAAATATTTAGGAAATATTTTTTAATTTGTTGGTTGTGAGCCTTGTAAATATGTGCATTTATTGGTAAATGTACAAATTTACAAAACGACGTACTTTTATCATGATATATATTTTATTTTGCAGACGGAATATATTTATTTAGGAGAAAAAGTAAAAATAAAAAAAGAGGTGTGGAATTCTATTGTAAATCAAGAACTAGACTCAAAGTTTGTCAAATATTTAGCAACAGCAATATTTGGCAGAAATGAGCTAGTTAATTCGTATCTGAAGGAAACTCCAAACATTATAAATTTGCCAAATAGATCTCCACGCAAATTGTTAAATGAAAAAAAAAAAGAAATATTATACAGTAAGTAAAATAAAAAGGAGAGAGTGGGGAGTTGCACCTCGTGGGGAGTCGTGCTCCACCTTAATTTTTTTATTATGGCCATTAATATGAGAAATTTCAACTATTGACATATTCTTTTCTCCTTAAGAAGTAACTTTTTAAATGGTACCCGTCATATTTGGAATCATTTTTTGTGTCTTTCAAGATATTAAGTAAAAATTTGTTTTTAAAAGTCTTTTGTCTCTTTATGTTTAGGTCATTTCAATTATTTTTTTTCAAAGTGATTACAATGTTGAATGCATAAAAATTAATTGTCATTAATAATTTTTTGACGTAAAAAAAATTCTCATGAATATTCTATGTATTTATCATACTACGACTATTTTGAGTTGAGTTGTTCCTCACATCATATTTAACAGTTTTTAATCCTAATTCGTATTTTTTTAATTTTTCAATACTGATAAATAATTAGAATATTTTATGCAATTTAAATATTGTTTTTTAGTGAAATGGGACTTTTTAAATCTTTATTCACTATAAATTAAATTATTTACCTAGTTTCATTCAATTCTTCTTAAAATATATAATTTTATCTAAATTATTTAAAATTAATATTTTATTATCTTATCTATTAATTTATTTTATGTGAATTATCTTATTGTTACACATTTTATAATTTAAATAAAGAAAATTTAAAAAAGTATATCTTTTTCTTCCATTTTTAATGCTGGAGCACAACTCCCTACTGTTTTTGAAAAATCATATAACTAGTAGTTTCGAAAAACAAGCAAAATTTCGATTTCAGTTAAAAATTTTAAATAATCAATTATGCTAAAAGTTGTACTTGTACGTATTCTAAAAATGCTGCATATTAGAATATTTAAAAGAATGTATGTAATAGTTCTGATCTAAAAAGAAAACTTGGAGCAAAACTCCCCACTCTCGTCTAAAATTTATTCTTCCATACACAACTTCATTTTATCGTCACCTAGGATAAAGAGTGTGCAAATTGCACAATAAAAAAGTCATTTAATTCAAACTTTATTTTATTCATTTAAAAGTCGGTAAATTTATGTGACGTTATTTGTAAACGCCCCCATAAGATAAACGCTCCTATTATGGAACACTTTTTCGGTTTCCCAAATATTGAAGCTATTTTTATGACAGACAAATGTACTAATTAAAAATCGACAATAATTACTAATCGATTAGCCTACCATTGTAGTTTTTTAAAACATTCCTTAAAAACCTAATTTTGATTGATTTGATTTGTTTAATAAATCAAATTTAGAAAAATGATGATGGATATATTAATAGAACTTCATTTACACACCTGTACGTGTGTTCCACACTTTATAATTAGTTCTTATTTATCAATGCATTTTTGAGGTTAGGGGCACTATGAAACTATGATTTTTTAAAAACGGAAAAAATGTTTTCTATTAGGGGAGAGTTAGTATGGTTGGGTCACGTTTTGACTTGTATCCATAATTTCTGTTCTAAACCGAATTTCGGATTTTATCACGTATGGTTGGAAAGATCTTTTCAAGTGCAACAGTTTCTCTAAACAACAGAAAATGATTGGACCAAAAGTTTAAAAGTTATAGGAAAATCGAAATTCTCGCGGTTTGTTTTTCTCTTTTTTCTAAAAGTTAATTTAAAAATTAAAGAAAAATGATAAAAATTAATAATATTTAATTTTTTGCAATAAAATACATTAGATTTACTTTAAAGAAAGTTTCCTAAAACGTTTCATGTATGTCAAAAGAAAGTATTAAAAGCTTCTCAAGAGAGGGGGAGAAGGGTGGTCCCTAAAAATCTCACAAAACGGGAGGGGGTACAAATTTCAAACAAAATCTCATTTAAATTAATGAAAACCCCGAAAACGTTTTCAGAACACAAATCGTTTATAATGCGTTATTGCAGTAGACTCGAAATAAAACTTTATGAATCCTTTTAGTAGCGTATCTAAAATTTAAATCTTTATTTCCCATTGGTAAATGACGTTTTTGACACATCGCTACGTCGAAAAATGAATTTATAATGTCAGGACGTATCATAATTACAAAATTTAAAGTGGCCCAACCATACCTATCACGTCGTTTTATTTTTTTATTATACAGACAGAAAACGAATAACACAAACATCAAATAAGACATTACATTTTTAAAGAACACTCAAACGAACAAACTTAGTCAACTTACTTTATTGTTTGCAACTTCTTCTTTTGTTTAATTCATTTTTTCGGACACCAAAAACAATTTTTTCTTTTAATCTTTAGCGAACTTTAACAAAACACGTATGTACGAATTACGCATTTTACTGAAAATTGCTAAAAGTGACGTGAAAAGTTTATTAATATCACTAGTAAGTTTTTGCAAACAAATGGCACTAATGTGAAAGGGCTTTAAACACCCAACCGTAAAGGTGGCCCTACCGTACTGACTCTCCTCCATAATTTTCAAATATTTTTCATTGTTCCATAATAGGATCAAGTTTTCAATGTGTTCCATAATAAGGGTGTGTACTTTATGTTATATCTAGAATTATCAGAGATGTAAATTAGTTGCATACAATTCTTATTTTTTGAAGCATCTCTTTGAATATGTTTATTACTAAGTTAAGAGATCTCGTATTACATTATAAATAAATTATTATATCTTCGCCTAGTTTTGTTTTACTTATATTTTATTAATTTTCAAATTTTTATTATCAGTACATTTAAATAAAAGTGCACTGCCCATAAACATGTAAATAAATAAATAACTCTGACAATTAACAATTTGAAAAAGTTCCATTTTATAAAAATGAAGGGGGAAATGATGACTTTTCATAAATTTCAAACTTAAAGCAAATTTCCTCTATAATAACTTAAAAATATGTCAATTTTATGTAAATTATTATGTAATTTCTTTTTAGAATGCTTCGTAGATAGATTGGATAACGTAAAGAATAAAATCGAACGAGAAAAAAAATTTGGGTACTACATTAGCCAGCATATTCGTACACTTAGGAATCTTATGCATCCAGAATTGTCCAGTAAGAATATTTACTTATTTATCCAAGCACAGTGTTAAATTTTTCTAAAAATCTGTTAATAATATAACTATAATTCTTTAAACATTGTTATTAAATATTTTTACTATTTAAAAATTTTACAGTAATATTTCATTAAAATCACTTTTAACAACAATATATTTATAATGCTAAATTTTTTATAAATTTATCATTTTATGAAACAAAATAACATGTATAAAAAAAATTATATTCTAATAGTTTCATTTTTCGATTTTGTGCAAGGTTTTTCGAAACATTTGTAACTGTAATACATTTTCATAAATTGCTCTTTAAGTCAATTAAAAAAAAAAGAAATTTTTCATGTGTTTTAATTTAAATATTTTTCAAAGAATATATTAACTAATTAAAATATTTTATAATTTCAGAAAAAAAATGAATAATTAAAAAAAAGTGGAAATTTTAAAAAAAGGACAAATAAAAATAAATTAAAATTGCATTATTGATTTTTTATTTCTATTTCACAAAAAACATTTCAAAATTTCAAGACTAAAAAATAAAATATTTTTTATAACATCTTGCGTCAAAAACCCGACTAAATTGCTATCTTTTACGCACTAGTGCTTAAAAGGAGGGGAAATCGTACTTTTACGCACACAGCAATTCCATCATAGCAATTTAGTTGAGTTTTTGACACAAAATGTTATAAAAAATTATGTATGAGACATGGGCGCAAATAAGGGAATCTCGACTCGCGTGATTGTCGCACTCGATTCGCTCGTGCCTCAAACCCACACGAATCTCAATTCCCCTACTTTTGCGCCCTTGCCACATAAATAACTATTATATAGCAAAACCACATTAAAATTATATAATTTAAAAAACTAAAAATTTTTAATGACAATTATAATATTTCTTTAAAATATAACATCATAATTTTCATAATTTTTTGAAATAAAATTTGTTTAAAAAAATTATATATTAGATATACAATTTAATATTTAGATAACATGGTATACTATGTGGATAATAATTAAATTAAAAAAATACTAATATAATTTTTTTAAAATTATTTTTGAGTTAATTCATTATAAATATATCTGCAAATGCTACAATTACTCAGGAATTGAAGAAACAAATGAAGACGTTTATTTAATAAAACAAATAAACATTCTCTACAAAAGGGTAAGTTGAAGAACAATTTACTCTGAGAGATCTGTATCTTACAGATTCAGAAAAGACGAAATTTTATTTTCTGTCTGTTATCACCATTGATCATCACCGGCCGTCTGTTTGATCTTACATTATTTGATCGCTTTTTTTTGTCAAATTGTAGTAGCGTATTTCAAAGTCATGCCTATAATTTACAAATAACTTTTGTTGTAATTTATTTTTTATTTACATTCAATTCTTCAACTTTTAAGGTTATTTCAATTAAGATATTTTAATAAAGAAATGAAAAAATAATACATTGTAATAATAATTGTAAAGTTATTAATAAGTTTAGAAAAAAAAGATTTAAAAAAATTTAAAAAAATTCCTTGCATTTATAACGACAGAGTTTAAAGGGGCAATCGCAGTTGTAGCGCAAAAAATAGACCTTTTTTATAAATTTTTTTCTTGTACACCATTAAATTTTTTCAAAATATCGATTTATTGTTTAAAAGTACTTATATTAAACATGAATTTACAAAAAAAAATAAAAATATTAAAAAATTTAAAATTATATCCTGTCAAAGTGATGTCCTATCAAGAACTAGATTATTATGTATTAAAAGAGAACGTTAAATTTCAGGACAATCGAATGAGTAGTTTTCAATTGAGAGTGGTCACCGAATTTAAAAATGTAGTTTTGAGAAAAACGTGTTTAAAATTTTAACTTACTTCTCAATGAATATGGAATTTTTTTAAATCAGATAGAATCATCAATTCTTGGACCATATAATAATTTTTCAGCACATGATGCTGCTTCCAAAATCACAATTCAAATAGAAAGGTATAAGGACCTACAAGGCCACAATTACCTGTTTTCAACCATTCTGATGCGCTTCCCTTTCAGCCTGTATATATCTCATTCAATTTTCACAGGATCATCATAAAAATTTCTAGATAAATTTCTTAAAACATACACTTTAAAGTATAAATTACACGTGTAATTTTTTAAAAAATATTCGAGAAATATCAAAGTATAAATTACACGTGTAATTTTTTGAAAAATATTCCAGATCGTTTAGCGTAAGAAACCGTGTTATCTTGGCGCAAAATTAAATGTACCGACTATGTACACTGTGAAATAAGAAATGTTTGTATTTCTTTTATTCGACAAATCAGCGTAATTTTGTAAATCGTTAGTTGTGTTATTAATCGAGCATAATATTGTAGTCGTTCATTATAATTTCTTCGCGTAGAAATTATCACAGTTTGAAATTTATTTTAATAGTTTGTAAATAGTAAATTTCTTGTTTTGTTAATAAATACTTTAAATCTGTAATATGTAATGTTAAGTTCATTAAAAACGAACCCTGAAAAATATTTGAAAAATATTAAAATATAAATTTCACATGTAATTACACGTGTAATTTTTTGAAAAATGTTTGAAGAATATTAAAGTATACATTACACGTGTAATTACACGTGTAATTTTTTGAAAAATGTTTGAAAAATATTAAAATATAAATTACACGTGTAATTACACGTGTAATTTTTTGAAAAATATTTGAAAAATATTAAAGTATATATTACACGTGTAATTACACGTGTAATTTTTTGAAAAATGTTTGAAAAATATTAAAGTATAAATTACACGTGTAATTTTTTGAAAAATATTTGAAAAATATTAAAGTATACATTACACGTGTAATTACACGTGTAAATTTTTTAAAAAATATTTGAAAAATATTAAAGTATAAATTACACGTGTAATTACACGTGTATTTTTTTTGAAAAATATTCGAAAAATATTAAAGTATAAATTACACATGTAATTACACGTGTAATTTTTTGAAAAATATTAGAAAAATAATAAAGTTTATATTACACGTGTAATTACACGTGTAATTTTTTGAAAAATATTTGAAAAGTATTAAAATATAAATTACACGTGTAATTACACGTGTAATTTTTTGAAAAATATTTGAAAAATAATAAAGTATATATTACACGTGTAATTACACGTGTAATTTTTTGAAAAATATTTGAAAAGTATTAAAATATAAATTACACGTGTAATTACACGTGTATTTTTTTTGAAAAATATTCGAAAAATATTAAAGTATAAATTACACATGTAATTACACGTGTAATTTTTTGAAAAATATTAGAAAAATAATAAAGTTTATATTACACGTGTAATTACACGTGTAATTTTTTAAAAAATATTTGAAAAATATTAAAGTATAAATTACACGTGTAATTACACGTGTAATTTTTTGAAAAATATTTGAAAAATAATAAAGTATATATTACACGTGTAATTACACGTGTAATTTTTTGAAAAATATTTGAAAAGTATTAAAATATAAATTACACGTGTAATTACACGTGTAATTTTTTGAAAAATATTTGAAAAATAATAAAGTATATATTACACGTGTAATTACACGTGTAATTTTTTGAAAAATATTTGAAAAGTATTAAAATATAAATTACACGTGTAATTACACGTGTATTTTTTTTGAAAAATATTCGAAAAATATTAAAGTATAAATTACACATGTAATTACACGTGTAATTTTTTGAAAAATATTAGAAAAATAATAAAGTTTATATTACACGTGTAATTACACGTGTAATTTTTTGAAAAATATTTGAAAAGTATTAAAATATAAATTACACGTGTAATTACACGTGTAATTTTTTGAAAAATATTTGAAAAATAATAAAGTATATATTACACGTGTAATTACACGTGTAATTTTTTGAAAAATATTTGAAAAGTATTAAAATATAAATTACACGTGTAATTACACGTGTATTTTTTTTGAAAAATATTCGAAAAATATTAAAGTATAAATTACACATGTAATTACACGTGTAATTTTTTGAAAAATATTAAAGTATACATTACACGTGTAATTACACGTGTATTTTTTTAAAAAATATTCGTAAAATATTAAAGTATACATTACACGTGTAATTACACGTGTAATTTTTTGAAAAATATTAGAAAAATAATAAAGTTTATATTACACGTGTAATTACACGTGTAATTTTTTAAAAAATATTTGAAAAATATTAAAGTATAAATTACACGTGTAATTACACGTGTATTTTTTTTGAAAAATATTCGAAAAATATTAAAGTATAAATTACACATGTAATTACACGTGTAATTTTTTGAAAAATATTAGAAAAATAATAAAGTTTATATTACACGTGTAATTACACGTGTAATTTTTTGAAAAATATTTGAAAAGTATTAAAATATAAATTACACGTGTAATTACACGTGTAATTTTTTGAAAAATATTTGAAAAATAATAAAGTATATATTACACGTGTAATTACACGTGTAATTTTTTGAAAAATATTTGAAAAATAATAAAGTTTATATTACACGTGTAATTACACGTGTAATTTTTTAAAAAATATTTGAAAAATATTAAAGTATAAATTACACGTGTAATTACACGTGTATTTTTTTTGAAAAATATTCGAAAAATATTAAAGTATAAATTACACATGTAATTACACGTGTAATTTTTTGAAAAATATTAGAAAAATAATAAAGTTTATATTACACGTGTAATTACACGTGTAATTTTTTGAAAAATATTTGAAAAGTATTAAAATATAAATTACACGTGTAATTACACGTGTAATTTTTTGAAAAATATTTGAAAAATAATAAAGTATATATTACACGTGTAATTACACGTGTAATTTTTTGAAAAATATTTGAAAAGTATTAAAATATAAATTACACGTGTAATTACACGTGTATTTTTTTTGAAAAATATTCGAAAAATATTAAAGTATAAATTACACATGTAATTACACGTGTAATTTTTTGAAAA